TGCACAAAACCCTCAGAATGCATGGGTCACAAAATGAAAAACACTAATGTCACATTCAAGGTGCTGGCAATATCTGTATGGGGGTTTTTCTGTGAAAATAAAATTGTTTTTAAAATTAAGAAAAGGGGGATCCCTGGGTGGCTCAGCGGTTTGGTGCCTGCCTTTAGCCCGGGGCATGATCCCGGGGTCCCTGGATCGAGTTCCGCGTCGGGCTCCCCGCATGGAGCCTGCTTCTCCCTCTGCCTGTGTCTCTGCCCCCCACCGTCTGTCATGAATAAATAAATAAATAAAATCTTTAAAAAATTACTATTAAAATTAAGAAAAGTTTCACATTAAAAAATAATGCCCAGAAACTGTTTTGTCACCGACTCACAGTGCAATTCATTTCATAAGCAGAGTATCCTTCCTTACACAGTGGCATTTAGAAGAATCCATATAAGTATACACAAAATGCACATTTGCCTGAGTTTTACATGGTCATTTTTCAATTAAAATCTGGTTACACACATATCTTTTCAACTTTCTTCCACAAGAATAAAATCTCACATATACCCAATACAAAATATTACAGAGGGCAGTAAGATTCTTCCAAGGTAAAGAAGAAACCTGCCTAACTTGAGAAGGTAGCCGTAATAAATACTAAAAAAAAGTATGTGAGACAGAATAATAATTATAGGAGCAAAACAGGAGAACATATATCCTCATAGAGGATCTACCTTAATTATGGCAAACTGCACTATATAAATGGCAACAGCAACATGCCCTACTGGACAGAGCAGAATAGCTTGCAAAAAATTTAATCTGGTAACACAAATTCGGTTTTTCATCTTTAAGAGGGGGGAAAAAAAACCAACCAACCCTGGGAAAAAAATATGTGTCTCAACAGTGACCTCTAGTGGAAAAGCCTTAAAATGACTGTCTCAAAATGAAATGCTGAAAACTAAAAACAAGTAGAAAAACATTTACATAGCTAACACCCCCAAACCACCATAAAAGCCAGGTACAAGCTGACGGAGTCAAGTGAAAACACTCAGCAAACACGGTCTTAAAAGGCAGAGTAATCACAAAGGCAAGCATTGGAATGGGGGCGGACACACAGGAAAAGTCTTTGAAATCCCTGCTATGTTCCCTTCTTTCAAAACACTGAGAGCAAGCAAGCCCCTGGGTATGTCATCTCCGTCTGCTCTGAGTGAGCACAACTCATCACCTGCCAATTCACTAATCAACCTGTCTTAACTGAGGGCCCAACTGACATTCAACATGCTCTTGGAAGTTTTGCAGGGGAGGGATGCAAAATAGCTTCAGACAGGGCTCCTCACCTCAAAGAAATTACAATGCAATGAATTGTATGAAGCAATCAGTAAATAATTTGAGACCTTAAATAGATGAAACTCACTTTAAGTGGAAGAGGAACAGGCCCAGAAGCTGTCACACCTATCAGCACTAAAGGAGGCTTCATGGAGAAGTGAGACTCAGCCAAGCCCATAAGGGTTGCTGGGGGGCAGAAGAAACTATGGTTCATCCTGACACCAGCTTTCCCAACTGTGGACTCTCAGATGTACCTGAGGAGTGCCACCCTAGCACATCAGTCCTCACTATGAAAGGGTCCCCAGACAAGGAACTTGACATAGACATCAGTTCTGAGGACAGAAGGTAATCCCTCTTTAGAGCTACAGCTCACAGTCCAGCATGTATGATGTGTGCCCATGAGTAGGAAACAGAAGTGTGTGGTGGCCTTTTCCACTCAAGTCCTTATACCAGTTAATCCCCAAAGTCCAGTTTCTACACAGACTGCTTCACCTCAGGCCAGGAGCTTCCTCTCAGGACCTCCCCATCATCTATTGCTCCCTCCTATCAACCATGATTGCCTGATACAGACAATTCCTAGGAAGCCACTCTGTGCTCAGCAGTAGATGTTAAAGAAAAATAAGAAACAAATGGCCTCACTTTCTTTCAAGAAAACTTCAGATTTGGAGAGAGCAGGTGAGAGAGCAGTAGGACAAGGACATGCCGCATTGGCATTAAGGGTCTCTGAGACAGGAGCCTGGGCAGGTTCTCAAAGTCCAGCAAATCATACCTTCCACCACCTGTGTGTTCTTGCAGAGCGAACGGTGTTTCAGAAGGAACAGCCCCGGCAGAGGAGCCTCATCTTCACTCTGAAACCACTCCCCCTGAGTCAGAAAGCACCTTTGCCAGGTTGCCAGCTGGCACCGCCACATCAGAGCAAAAAGGAAGAAGGAAAAGATTCACTCTGTGCTCTGCCTTCCGTCTAAATACATCAAGAAGATGTGTACATCTAGGAAAGCTGTTACAGGCAGAGCGATTCCCCCACCCCAACTCTACCAAAACCCATCCACACTGACCCAATTTAAATTGGGGTTTAAATTTATTTATTTTTATTTTTTAAAGATTTTATTTATTTATTTGAGAGAACAAGAGAGCACAAGCAGGGGGAGGGGCAGAGAGAGAGGGAGGAGCAGGCTCACCGCTGAGCAGACAGCCCCACGCAGGACATGATCCCAGGACCCTATGATCATGACCTGAGCTGAAGGCACATGCTTAACCACCTGAGCTGCCCAGGAACTCCAGGTTTAAATTTAAATGGTGCTGCTCTACGTTATGATGAACCCCTACTAGCAACTGGCTTGATAATTTTGAAATATTTTTTATGAACTCCAATAAAGAAAGCTTTAAGAATTTCTGCTCACAAAATCTTGGGGGAATTTAGGGTCATCTGCCCACTTCCGGCTTCCTGTGGCCTCACTCAGCTACTCCTCATACGTTGAGAGGACCGGCCCACATCAAAACCACCAGCAGGGAAAGTCCAATCGTTGACACACGGTCCCAATGGCTCTGCAGATACTGGTTCCATGTGTAGTCACATGGTGTCCCCAAATAAAGGTCCCCGTCTGAGCCCGCTAGTCATTCGTTCATAAGTACACAAGTGGAAACGTCAAACAACAGTGTAATTGGCAGACTATGAGAAAAACACAAATACTTTTGCAAGATAAAACAGGGCTGAGGGGTTTATCTTCTGAGTGCCACTGGTTTTAATGCAGCATTGTCAGCCAGGCCTTATTAAAAGCCACAGGAAGTGAAAGACACTGATTACAATACAAAGTGACAGGAGGGTGTGCTCAGCCACTTACATTTAATGCATATTTATATTTCCATCAAATGGACATATTTACTATAAATACTTGAAAAACCATAGCGAAGTCATTCATTTAAATGCCAGAAAAATAGTAAAAGATGCTAATTTGACCTTAGTGGAACAGATCGAATGTCACTGACACTACTCACCATGGCTTGAAACAGAACTTACCAAGACGATTAATTAGAGTTTACTGGATTAGGTCAAGAGTGTCTCAAATGGAAAAATAAAGAAAAAGAAAAAAAACAGGGAAGAGAGAAATTTGAAGTTTAAATTCATTCACAGTCAACCTCTTTAACAATAGCAGATACAATTTAACTCCATTTTTATGCCACTCTAAATTAATCTAGTATTATATGCCTGGAGAAAGAAACTGATCCACTCAACCCTAAGATTTCTATCTTTGTGGACACGTAAAAAGAAATAAACTACAGTTGAAAAATTTGAAATATTACATATATATATATATATATATATTTTTTTTTTTTTTAAAGAACAGACCGATTAATGATGTAATAGGAATACAGCAGGTTTTGCTTCTTGTTTTTGCTTTTTTTGCTCTACTGATGATGCAAATCTAACCATGGGAAGCTTGGCAATTAAGTGTTTTCATGAACTGTGCAACAGTTTCAGGAACTTCTGATCACAAAATCTTGGGGAATTCAGGGATTATGCTGTCTGGCTTTCAAGACAAACTACAAATCTCCTCTATATTGGGACTACGGTCTCAGTGGACCATAGGATCATTTGCTATGAAAACCATGAAACTGGCAGCATACTACCTGCTACAAAAATGATCACATGTGACTTGGAACCCTTCCTTTCAGCTTCTGTAACCACCGTTATGCAAATGTGACAATTGTGCCACTCTGCCTTGGTCTTACAAATATGTGCTTTTTGCTAAGAATGAACTAAATCTGCCTGTTTCCTGCACGCCAGAGGCCCTAACTGCCCTCTTAATTCTCAATAATCAGCAGCTCTGTGACATTGCCTCAAGCTGTATATAATGCACATACACACATAAATTTACGAGACAAATCCCTCAACATGACATTCAGCTCAATTTCATGGGACTCAGAAAGCTCCCTAACAAATTCTTGCCACATGATTAGAAAATCATTCAAGTCTGCAGGAAATATGGCAAGCACAAAGAAGTGACAGTCAATTAGGAATAAGAAAGGAGAGTGAGTCCCTGTTATTAAAATCTTTAAAGTCACAGCTCTAAGAATCAGATGGCCCATTATCACTCACACGAGGTATTTTCATAAAAACAGCTATCAATTCTATATGTTAACCATGCCGTGACACCACCCACACCCCAGAGAAGTCTTCTTGGGAGCCAGAATCAAAAAATGTGAAAAATGCAGGTGCAGATTTATATAACTTACACAGTTTTGTAGGGCTCCCCCCCTCCATCAATCAGTGAAGTATCACAACAGTTAAATATTCTCCTTTTGAGGAGGAAGTACAGAGAAAGCCAAGAACGCTTACTCCCAATATTCTTTAGTAAGTTTTGTTTTGTTTTATTTGTTTACCATGAAACACTAGTGAATCACCTGGTAGTTCAGGTGAATGGAGCCCTTACCACCCCCGAAAGGAACCATTTCCTGAGAAGCAATATCATGTTCATTCTGCAGCTTACATATGTGAGGAAAGAATCTTCAAAACAGAGCAAAGTACAAAATACAGGACAATATGCTCATGTATTGTACTGTCACCAAAAATCATTCTAGGTTTTCCCCACATAACATCGGTCATTAGCATCTTTAAAGGAAACAAAAGACTCAGCAGTATCACCATATTACCTAAAAGTCAGAAACTGTAACAAACGGTAAAGTTAACTCACTTGTTAGCTTGTTGTGGCTGAGGACCAGTTGTGTGATGTGGGATAAGGAGACTGTAAAAGAAAAAGAAAAAAAAAAAAACACACATACAGTCAGTAAGTGTACCCAAATTATCCCCACACTCCTACAAGGTAAAGTGTTAAATTATCTTCACAGGTTGAAGTGTTACCGCTCACAAAAATAGAAGCAAGGTTTCATGTAACACTATCTGTTAAATGTTAAGCCAAATTAAGAAAAGTTATGCAATTAGCACAGCAAGTTACAGCTAATGAGATTAATGTTGCAGGATCAAATATGACAAGGGCCAGTTAGCTTTGCTCTGTGACCTGCTCCGCTGGCCTAGCCTGAGCGATCCATCTCAATTAAGGTGTGCCCGTCAGAAGTGGCCTGGGATGTGGAGAGGCCTGATGCCTCACCTGCACCAAAAGAACATCATGTGAAGACAGAAGAGACCACATCACATTAACAGGCAGCACACTGCTTCACCTGCGTCGTCCACTGGCAGCCCAGAAATTCTTTTACATGCTACTGAGTGACTAAAAGAGAAGAATTTTCCTCTAAAATAATTTTGGTTGATATTTCAAAGCACCTGCAGATTGCTCACCAGTTTCAAACAATATCACGGAGGTTTAAGTTGCACAAGATCAGGCTTGCTTAAATTAAAAGATGGTTTTTCCAACTCTAAAGAAAGAAAATATACACAGATCCACAAGAGAAAAAAAAAAAAAGTCTGAGAAAAAAGTGACCGGTCTCCCTTTTTGGGTTCTAAAACTTCACAGAATGATCTGCATATTGTTTCAAACAATATGTTTCAAGTATCTATTTTACATATTGAACAGATTCTGACATTTTTCTAATATTCTTTCTCTAAGAACATTATATTAATGCAGCAGTTTTTTCCCTAAGAAGTGAGAAGACAAATTTTTTTCTCAAGAAGGATCTTCATGTTGGACCCCAGTGAGCTGGGAAGAAAATGAGTGTATCACTCCTGACCATTACTTTTGAGTAGGTTTCTTTTCTTTTTCCCCCAACCATCACAAAGTTATAGAAAATTCAAAATGCAGTACAGAGACCTGTTTTCCTGCCCTGAACCATTAGAGATCATGCTGCTGGCCTGATGCCCCATAAACTCAGGGTATTCTGAGGATGGTATCCCCCAACAGAACCACAGCACAGTCACCCAAGCCAAAAGCTTCCCAACATACATCACTACCACCTAATCCTCACAGCCCTCACCCCAGTTTTACTGAATGTCCCAAGCATTTCTTTTAGAAAAAAAACAAACCGGTTCAGAACCGCATTACATGCAGCTAGTGGATCTCTTAGGTCACCTCTTGTCTGCATTTCTCTTTCCTTGACTTTCATGACCTTGGTAACTGTGAAGTCTGCCTGCAGGCCAAATTATTTTATATTATGACCCCCATGCAGATTTGTCAATTTGTTTATTCACGATTAGACTGAGGTTAAGCATCTTTGGGAGTGGGCACCTGGGTGGCTCAGTGGTTGAGCATCTGCCTTTGGCTCGTGTCACGATCCCAGGGTCCTGGGATCAAGTCCCACATCGGGCTCCCCATGGGGAGCCTGCTTCTCCGTCTGCCTGTGTCTCTGCCTTTCTCTCCGTGTCTCTCATGAATAAATAAATAAAATCTTTAAAAAAAAAAAAAAGCATCTTTGGAAGGAATGTCAAGAAAATGTGGCACTCTTCTCAATGCATCCTATCAGGTGGCAGACAAGTTCGGTTTGTCTGTCACTGACGATCTTCCCTTGATCGTTTATGTCTCCCAGGCTTCTCCACTGCAAATTTCTTCTTTTCCCTTTTGTAATTAATAAGCACTTGGGGAGAAGGGGGGGTTAAGAAAGGAAGGGTATTTCAGAGCTATGTAAAGATCCTGTGCCAAGTGTCTCATGATCCCCACCCAGGGCAACCTTTACCCTCTCAATACATTTGGCAATGTCTGGAAACATTTTTGAGTCTAACTACGATGGCCACTAAGAACCAAAACTTTCCTATGTGGCTCACACTGTATGTATTAGACGGCACTGGTCTAGAGCAGAGGCATCCTGGGGGCAGGCGCCAGGGATGCTGCCTCACATCCTACAATGCAGGACACAGCCCACTCACTCCTCTGCAACTATCTCCAAACCCAGAAACAGTCTGGTGCTTCTGTAGGAATAGCTGGGCAAAACATAGCTTTAGCTACTCAGGATCATCAGGTCCAAAATGTCAACAGTGTTGCTGTTGAGAAACTGCAATTTCTTTCTTTATATCTGTATTGCTTAGTGGTTTCCTATTTTAGTCAGTGGATTATTATCTACTGTTATTATTTATGCTGGTGTTCAAATTGTCCGATCTGGCCAGAGGGAGCCCATCCAAGCCGGATGGTATCCCTCTGACAGGTCCCCACTGCTCCCTGAACACCTCCCCGCTTTCTGGCACAAGATATTCAAGCTCATCTTGTCCTTTTTCAGCCACAGCCCTGAAATCACCATTTCTCTAATGAGCTCTGGTTCCTTTTTGTGGAAAATGGTATTTATAAGACAAAATCTGAGCACCAGATGTGTTCATTGCTATTTGGGGCTCAGTATTCTCAGCTCCTTTCAGTGGACAGAGCTTGAGAATACACACACACACACACACACACACACACACACACACTATACTGATTTCACTATATTATTGAAAACTCTGAGCTCACAACAATATATCCAACTCTAATACAACATCACACAGTTCACTCCAGTTTCTTTCCTCTCTGTGTTTGTAATTCCCTTCTCTAACAGTGAAAATTCTGGCTCCCATTATCTCTAACCTACTTACTATGTAATCAATAACCCTATATATAACTGCATGAAATAGAGTGCTCTTACAGCTAGACCGAGATAGTTCTATGCTTCTTTGCAGGGGCACCTGGAAGTTCAGTACTCATTCTTGGTCAAGATCAAGATGAGGAAGCTAGCTAGAGATGTGTGATGTTCAGCTTAAAGTTGAATACATCCAGGAAATCTCCAGGGTCAGAGTGTTTTACACTGGTTAGGGATGTGTAGACTGACGGCTTACACCTAGCTATGAGGTACACGACCAGTTGGGCATAAAAGACACTGGTGGACATTTTTGCCCAGGCTATCCTGAAACCCAGATTCCTTATACAATCTTGATAGTTCATAACCTGGAGAATAAACATGTCCTGAGCAACTGAGAAATGACTCTGGGGAGCAGCCCCACTGAGCCTCTGATGCCCCCACAGCTCACCCATGCTTTCCTATGCCTGCTAAGCAAGATCCTATGCCTTTATTAACTCCTTAAGCGAGCAGGCTCTGTGGAACTTGAGTCCTTTCAATTACCCAGCTTTAGAATCAATGTGGTAACCAATCTCCCACACACACATGCTCCTCCCTCCAGCTGGGACACCTTCATACTGCTCAGACTACCCTGCTCACCCGCCCCTCCATAGAGACACCCTCCTCGTCCTGCTTGGGCTGGACCTTGCAGGCCAGGTTCCCCAACCTGCACAGATGCTCAACTCACTCCACTCGGGTCCCATTCCACCACTCTAGACCACCAGGCCCTCCCAACCCTGACCATCTCTCCTTTTCTGTCCCACTCACTGGCCTGAGGACTGAACTGTTAGGGAAGGTGAAGCGCAAAGCAATGGGGAAGGAGGAGAGCATTCTTGTGGTTTCTGACAGAGTCACAACGGTGGCTTCTCACATGATGTTAAACACTATACAACATCTTGCACATTTTTATTTGTAAGAGTTAAGATTCCTTGTCCACCAACTAAGCATTCCTTTATCTCTGAAGAATACAGTCTGATATGGGGGGAAAATATCTCAAAGAGCTACCCTCATACCAAACCAGATGAAAAAGGTTCACAGATGTGTAAAGATTATGGTCCCTTTCATGTGAGAGCAAGCAACAAGTAACAGAGGTGCACACAATAAGAGTCTGTCTCTCACTCACACACAGGTGATCCAGAGGCTTCTGATATCTTTGTTGCTCAACCATCCCCATTACATGGCTCCTACTTCATGCTTCAAGATGGCTGCCTGAGTTTAGCCATCACATCTGCATTTCTCTCAAGAATACTGAAAAAAGGCGGCTTCCTCCTTCAGGATAGTTCCAAGAAGCTGCACATGGTACTTGTACTTGCAATCAATGGATCACAATTTTAGAATACAATGAGGCCTCTCTGCAAGCGAGGCAGGGAAATGCAGTCTATATTCCAGGTGCCCAAGTGCCAGCTAATCAGGGGTTTTACAACCAACAAATGGAGCAAACTGAAAGTGGCAGACAACAAGCAGCCTCACACACTGGCACAGACCTCCATCAGAGCGTCACAGAAATCAATCCTGATGACAAGAGAAAATGAACAATCCTCCCAGCTCTGCCTTAATTCTTCCTAAAATATCACAACTAACTCATTAGAACAATTTTTTTTTGTTCTCTCTTCCAGCTACCATGCACGATGAAAGATTTAATTAGGGAAAGCCAGTTATTTTCCATCATTTCCTTGTGTTCCCTTCAGCAAGCATTTAGCAGGAGAGAAAGTGACAAAGTTTAAAGTTCTTTTTCTGTTTGAATAAAGAGAAACACAGCTGTTGCTTCACCTGATAACACCACCAGAATGTATTTTTCTTTCTCACTATTGTTACAGAGCTACATGATAAAGTAGGTAAGAGGCAGAAAAATTAGAGCAGTAAAGAAAAAGTTAATAAAAGATCTTTGAGAAAATATTTAGGGCAACAAAGGAGTCCAGGCTGGGTCTGTGGGGAGGGCAGTTCAGTTGGACAGAATCAGAAATCACAGAATCAATCACAAAGCCTGGTACAGGCAGAGACTGAGTTGCGACAATCATATTTATAAAACCCGCCACTCCCCTCCACTTGGCAATGGTGAGTTCATTGTGAGTCTTGTATGGAAACCGTGCTGTTAAAAAAGAAGGGAGAAAGTGCCTACCAAAATAGAAATGGATTATTTAAAAGCACAAAAGCTGCCATGGTCAAACATGTTGGGGAGAATGGAAGCAGGCTGTACCCACTGACCCGCCTTGCA